AAAAAAAAAGTTTTAGATAGGCGCGCTCCACATTCAGGCTTATAGTAAAATTTATATATAAAAAAAAAATATTTGTTCAGATAACTCATGATTTGCCAATTAATTTAATTCGTATTACTATAGATATTATAAATAGAAACCTCTTACCCCCAAATACCTATTTCCAAATATGAGTTGTTTTAAAAACGGAAATACCCAACCTGACTCTTTAAAATGAAAACCCCTGCTCTACAACAACTACAGCCCCAGACTATAACTGCTTTAAGTAATTTTCTTGTACTTTGGAACCAGGACCCCTTGCAACCAACAATAGCTTGATTATTACTAAAAATTCTATTGTTATATATAATGGAACAGACATTATTACGTCACTACAATTTCTATGAGAAACAGAACCAGAGTTACCTACCCAACATTTGGACAATATTGATGTATTAAAAAATTATTTTCCAAGTATAAATTTTAATGACATTACTTTGTCTATCGAACCTATAGAAGAAGAATCAGCTGACTACACTACTTAACAAAATACAGAAATTGTACAAACCCAAGAGAAAGAAAATAAAATCCTCACTCAACTTATTGAAGATTTCACTAAAGAGAAAAATAAAGTTTTTCTACAACAAAACTCTTTGACAAAAGTAACTTTTAAATAAAAACTTCAAGAAATTATTAAACGCTTAAAAGAAGAGAGCTGTAGAAAATCATGTGATTAACAAATTTGAATTCTAGAAACTTCTTATTATCTAGAACAGCTAAAGAAAGAAGCTGATGATAATAACCGGAAAACCTAAAAAATTAGAGAAAACCTTAGCAAAGCTCTAGGATCATGATGAGCTGCCAGAGCATGGAAATGTGCTGACCGAATTTACTAATTTCTTCAAGTCTGTGGACTATCTCACCTCTATTTTACTACTACGATTACCTATACTAACTTGGAAAGATTAAAGAAAGAAGACTTTATGATACTGTTAAGTGAAGTTAGAATTCACAGAATTCATTCTTAAAGGAGACAGAAATGTTATAGAATGAGTTTTCTAAATTTTGTATTATTAGTATTATTTAGTATTATTATTAGTATTATTATTATATTCTATTGTTGTATTATTATATCACTATATAATATTATTAAGTAGTTTCGCATAATGTGATGAATAGCAAGAACGGTTACCATTTCTACCATTTCTACCATTTCTATCATTTCTACCATTTCTACTATTTCTACTATTTCTACCATTTCTACCGTTTCTACCATTTTTACTGTTTCTACTATTTCTTATAGTTTTATTAGTTTTAGAAAAAGATATAAAAACTCTGGCTTTTCTCCTTTCTGCCAGATAAGACTCAGACACCCCCTCTAGATACAGACACTCTTTAGTTATAGAAATATTATATCTTGTAATTAAAGTCTTATATCATAAATAAAAATATCTTTCTTTGAACTATATACTTTCCATGAACTGCCCTTAATGAAGTTACATTCCACTTACACACCACTATAACCTCACAATAGAGCTCTATAGCTATGTACTTTGTTACTTGTGTTGTATTAAGAAAGCTACAGTCCACTTGTAACAGTATTATATATTAGCATTTCTATAATAGTATTGAATAGACAAAATTCTTAAAGCGCATCTATATACTTACTATATTTATATCGACAAGAATCTCTTAAACGTACTGGTCGTATTAAATTTAATATTGTTAGCATATATGTTTATATAATAATTTTGAACAGATCTATTAAGCGTATCCATACTTCCCATATTTATATCAACAAAGACTATTTAATATAATGTACTATTGAATTCGAAAGTTAAATTCTAGAAAAAACAATTAAATTAATATAAATATTAGATTCTAGCTCGTGTATTATAGATGAAGTATATGTATATTAGATTGTTATATAAATACATATGCTCTAAAATGATATAAAATTAATAATTTTACCTTTAAAATTTTCTAATAAATTTTGAACCTTCTTCGTAAATAAATTTGTTTAATTTGTATATCTCGATTCCGGTATAATCTAAAAACAACTTACTAAAAAAAAAATAATTAGCACCGAGTAGATAAATAAAAACTCACTTATATTTCTGTGTTTGTAAGATTTTTACCTTAAATTTAGTCATCAATTTATAATTACGAACGAAATGGTTAAAATTTGGGAAGTACCAGCTCAGTCTAAGCTCAAAGACACAATTTCTCAATTAAATCAGGAGTTACAGTATTTTGAAGTATTAAAAAATAAAAGAATGATCTCTAATGTTGATAAAGAAAAAAAAATATATTCAAAATGAACTCGCATCATCACTAAAAGCTTTAACTAAATTAGAATACTACTAATGGTCTTATCAGAAGTATAGATCTCAACAAAAGCAGAAGCTTTAGCAGATAGAGAAGTAGCTTAAAGAAGCAGGTTTTGATACTTAGCTTGTTAAGCTAACAGTTAGTCATCCAGTTTAGAAAAAGCATAGCCAGATTTATTGGAGGCCATTGTTCAAATTATTTCTCCAGATGGACAGGCTGATGAAAGCCGGCATTCAAAATTAATACGATCTGTCAAGACCTTAGACCAGCTTCAAGAAGTATTAACAAATATGAATTATAAACTGTCACGCTCTGCGACATATCTTAGGTTAATTTCAAGATGGCATAATAATAAAGAAGGAAAGCAACACGTTAAAATAGTGATAGTAAAGCCTCCAAGATCACAGAATTCAGCAAGAAGAAGCTATGAAGATACCCATTTTTGCGCTGCTTTAATAAGAAACATAAAAGAGATGGTATCATTATTAGGTTCCAAGAGTGCTTTAGTAATATTTCAAGATAATAAAGCATGAATACCTCTCGGTTTAGCTACAGCCAACAAACAAGGTTACTATAATTTAAAATAAAATAGAATTACTATTTAAAATATAATAAATAAAAGATAAAGCTTACTAATAATAATTAATTTATATAGTACAGATTCTTATAAGGCTGGAATATCAAATAGAACTGCCAGATCATGATTGGGTTGTTGCTGAAAGGCATAAACTGATCTCTTCAGTTTATGCAATATTAGATGTACATAAAGATAAATATGAGCAAGCTGAAGCAGTAACATATTCAGGTTCAACATTCATAAGAATTTGTAGTAGTAAACATGATAGCAGTACTGCTTACTCTCATGGCAAAGACTTCGATGACCTGATAGTTGAGGAGAAATTACACAACCATATTACGACAGATAGCTAGCCTAAACCCGTGGTGGTAATAATATCTAATAGTGAACTCGATGAGAATCTATATTATAGAAAAACAGTTCAGATGATGGTAGATTACTTTACTAAGTATGATCTTGATACTATCATTGTAGCATGCTTTGCACCACACCAGAGTACATCCAATCTAGTAAAAAGATGAATAGCGTCTTTAAGCTATGACTTAGCTGGTATAATCCTCCTACATGATATCTTTGGATCATATTTGGATGCATAGTTAAGGACAAGTGATGAGGAATTGGAAAAACGCAATTTCAAAGCGGCTGGAGATGTTTTGGCATCAGTGTGGGAGGATACAATTATCAATGGTTATCAGGTTCTTGTTAAGTATATAGATCCTTCTGATGAATTCTACTGCCTAACTGAAAGATCAGCAGCTTGAATAGAAAAATATATAATGACTTGTTGTTATATAACTCAAGTCATAAAGTGTGATGATCCAAGCTGCTGTAAACCTTTTCGTAGTGGAATCAAACAGATCCTTCTGAATCGCTTTTTCCCACCACCACTTCTGATCCAACAGAAGCTTCAAAGTATTTGCGCAGCAAGCATGAGCATATCTGACAATACAATTCACTTTGGCAGCTTTCTTCTCTCTATATTAATGGAAGTAAAGTTAACTCCTACAGATACAAATCTACAGTATTTTCCCTTCGATTGGTATTGCCTAACTGTAAATAAATCAATTATTGATTATCTCTGTTCTTATTGTAATCGATACTATGCTTTAAAAGGAGCTTTGAAAATCTATATTAAAAAATATAAAAAATTCAACTTATCTAAAGAACCTGTTTTGGATATTCAAGATAACAAAAGTAGTAAAATTATGCAGATAGATGAAGAAGCAGTACCAGAAGATCTGTTAGAAACCTATCCTCAGCAAGTGCAAGTTCAAGAAAAGTTGATTGCAGATAGAGTATTAATAGTTAACTGGGATATTTGGAAGCAATGCGAGTAGACAAATGAATAATTAATTACGTACATATGTACATATGTACAAGGTTAATGCGTAATATTGTAGTAATATTGTGTGTCCAAAAATGAAACTATTCTTGTTACATTAACATTAAATTCAGTATTTTGACTTTTGTATTACTTTACGCAATAATTTCTAGAATGACTTTTGAATTATACTGTATGTGTTATATAATTATCATGACAAATAATGTAGATCAATTTTTAAAATACTATTTATGCGTGTATATGATTATGTGATATATAATTCATGTGATGTTTATAATTATAAGTATTTCGAATATGTAAAGATCAAAGTCTGAAATATATTAATAATATTTGCTATTGGCAAATTATTTTAAAATTTTCACTAAATATTTTTAACTTGACAAAATCAGTAAAAATCACTTAATGCTTTAATAATTGATATATAGATCCTGATAGAATTCTAAAAACTACATTTCTATCAAATAACAGGTTACTCTCGTTAATATCAACCTATTTGAATTAGTTTTAAATCATGTTGATAATGATATTAACGAGATATCATATTAAAGTTGATATTAGAGATTGTACCTGAGTATACATTTTTTATTATATAGCATAATAGATTATCTGGATAACTGGGTAATTTAATAATACCCAAGTAGAAATTTTCTTGACGTGTACAATCTCTAGTTGATATATATAAGGGTGTTGTAATATATAAAAATTTATAAAAATTTGCTTTGTTGCTTAGGTTGATATTGATGGATAATCTGTAGTTTCATTATTATTGCCCAATCTAATTATATTATTACTGCCTAATCTGATTGTAAAACCAACATAAAAATAAAATTTAAAAAAAAAGGATCAAAAATATTTCCAATCCATGATCAGATTCAAATACAAGTACGAAATCCGCATAGTCGAGAGTAAAAAAAAAATTCTATGTGTATTGACAGATAAAGCAATACAAAATTAATTAATTGGTTTTCATAACCCGGCCAGGTCAAAATTTAAAAACTTGCAAAAAAAATTTAATATGTTTTAATAACCGGGCGGGTTTGTTTAAAAGTTTTATATTATGAAAACCAATATATATATATATTTTTTTTTTGGTATTAAGGTGACCTCTTGGTTGAGTCTCTTTATTCAGTTACTAGTTAACTTTTTATTGTACGCTAAGCCCCTCTCGGTACCCGTACAGTATACATATTTTTGGAGGATACATACTAGCTACACGTACAACTTTTGATTGTCTATTTAAGTAGTCTGCTTATTACTAAGTTCTATACTAGATGCTATACCTATAACCCAACTAGGGGGTTACCTATTTAAACCTTCTGCACCATATGTAAGTCACTCTATATATAACTGAATTGGAGTATATCTCTTAAGAATCCTGACTTAGAACTTTAAAACAGACTTGACTAGCAAACCCTTTGTCCTCAAGTTAAATCTGCTAGAGCTTTCTGTACCTACAATCTGGCTAGCCTAGGCTTCAGTAACTTACACCCGAGTCTGAGAACAAGGACTTGTGAGCCGAAGCTGCTACTATTACCTATTTTCGCTTTTATAAAGTTCACCCAAACCCTGGTACACACATTACAGACTGTCTACGTTATCCTCAGCTATTCCAAACTACCAATCCAAATGGCCTGAAAGGGCTGTGACCTGCCCTGATCTCCACAGTTAGGTCCTTTTCTTCTAGTTACTTCTCTGACAACCTGGTTGGTGGAGTGTCTTGCCAAATACTCGGTCTTGTTTGGTTTTTGCTGATTTTTCCAATGATAATCCTTTATATAGTAACATCAAAGATCTGTATTACCTCTCTATTCAGGACTTGTCAAGCGAGCACCACACTGCCGTATCAGCCCTGTGGCTTTCTGCGATCCGAAGATCATTCATATAACTCATACATCACACAAAGGCCCCAAGATCTTCCAATTTCAATGAATTGATACGACCACAGTTACAGAGTCTCGAGTTTTTCTAGCAATGACAATACTTACCGAATCCGTTTTTCAAAATTCAATTTTTGTTTTCAGTGGGAATTGAACTTGTACTCAACTGCTTGGAGATACGACAACTTCACCACTTCACTAAGTCACCACACCCCTTGAAAACCAATATATTAAATTTTGTGTGGCCTAAGTTATTTGTAATTTTTTTTAGATGTTGAAATTTATTTTTAATATACAAAAATAATCTAGTATAATTTATTTCATTAGCATTACCTATCTCCACGTTTCATCTTTATCCTCAACAGCCCCAATTCTATTTTTATAGCAATGGCCAAGACCGAAGATTCTACTAGAATGACCCATCTTGGCAAATTTTTGATAACATTTGAAAGCATATATTTATTTTTGATTTTGGTCACATCTATGGAATAAATCATATAATTAAAAAACTATATTATCATTCAAGAATATAATAGTAACACACCATTCATTGTTCTTCCTATTCTGCTAATACCACTATATCAGACATTCTGCAGTTAAAAATGTCTTATAGTTAATTTTATTATAATTGAGTAATTTTGCAAAGTCATATTGTTTTTTTGCTCGAGATATGTTTTTAAGCACAAATAAAAACTCAAAGTCAAAAATGATTCGTGAACCTAGATTTTTTCAAAATTCTGCTGTTAAAGAAAAAGAACTCAGACATGAAGATCACATATTGAACAAATAAAGTACAGTTAAAGCTCAATATAACGAAGTTCAAAAACTGATCAAATGCTTTCGATACATAGAAATCTTTGGATATTAGAAAGCAAATTTATATATTCAAACATATACTTGTTATATAAAAAATTTCTCTATGTTCAAATATTCGCTATTGAGAAATTCGTTACTTTGAGCTTTAACTGTATATTTAGTTCTCTTCAAAATATAACAGTATCTGATTTGGCGAAATATTTTTTCTTTTCACATAGCACTTAAAACATAGCAGGTTAACATCCCTAACTATAGGGTAATAAACACACATTTTAACAAGTGACAAATAGAGAAAAAAAGTTAATATAGATCTTTATTTGGATAATAATGATCAAGACATAAATCATATGACTCAGACTTTCTTGGCAAAAATTCTACATATTCACATAGCACTAAAAATAATCGACTTATTTTCTGCTAGTAAGTATGAAAAAAGTTATATATGCTGCATTTAGTACTGTTGATCACTGTATACAATATCCTCCAAAAAATAATACCCCATGATTAAAACCCGAGTATTATTCACCATCCCTATCATCTTGTTTCTTGAATAAGACCCAGGCTATAACTATATTTACTACTTTTAATATGATATTTTCCCAAATATAGTATTCAGTTTTTTATACAGTATCCACAGGTACTATTCAATTTTAAAAATGGAGTTCTTGAATAAGACCCCAGGTGCTATATACAGTACCAACAATAATACCATACCAGACATATATGTTATTGCCTACGAAATGGCAATAACCAAGAATTAAT